TTTTCCTTTCTTGATGAGTGTAAGTGGCAAAAGGCCTGGTAGGATGGGCACGAGGAATTATCGAAATCAGCATAAAAATTATAAATAAGCCACACAGAGCGAGCTATATAAGAGAAATTCCCCCAAAACGATCACGCTTAGAAACACGGAAGACAAAAACCACGTTCATGACGCTCCTTATAAAACAACTCTAAACAGCTAGCATCCAAATAAAATATGTCTTTCCGGGATGATAAAATACAGCTGGATAATTTTCAACCGCTTAAACTGAGTTTACAACAGTAGCTCGGTAAATTCACTCACGTTCCACGCGGTCGTCCGCCCCGACACAAAAGTCAACAATATTACCTCGGGACCGTCCGCGTCTTCGCTTGCATTTGTCAGCATCTGGTGTCGATAGTATGAAAGTTCATAACCAGGCGAAAATTATTATACTTTACCTCAAACTAAAAAATGCTTCATTTTCCTTAAAATTGCATGTTAAATGTCGTATAACCCATATTTCCACCATTCTGTCATTTTCAAAAAATCATTAAAAATATCATTCCACGGTCAATTTCCTTGTTCCACGGTCAGATTAAAGATAACTTTATGGAGATTTAGTAGATACTTAAATCAGCGTGCACTTTTTTGAGACGTGATGCACTTTTGAGTTTTAGTGGGAGAACGGCCGAAAAATTGCCTTCCGTTCTCATAAATGGGAACGCCCGTTCCCATATTTGGGAACTCCGTTCCCAAAAATGGGAACGTTCCTATATTTGGGTACTCATGACCATAGTTCCGCCTACTGATTTGCCAGACAAACCTCTACAAAATGTGTCATCAATTCCCAAACTAAGCAATTGATTATATCAGTATTTGCAGTTTCCACACAATGATTCATAATATTATTCGATTTTTATATCAAGAAACTCAAATAATCCACAAATTGTTATTGAAACACTCCCACTTCAAGAGCTCACAGCAATAACAATACAAAAGTTCAGAAGCAAACAAACATTGCGCCAGATTTCGTATGAAACGCGCCATCATCCTGAAGTTTCTACCACAGACGGTAGTTCAACCGCAGCCGTAGTGCAAAAACCCCTGCCCACCTTACCCCACGGCGGAGCTCGGTTGCAATTTGTAAATACGCAGCCGCACCACCACTAACTTCACACGTGCCTCATATCCCTTATCCCTTAATCGTCCCTTAAATGACGGGGCGCGCCAAAAGTGCCTCAAGGGTTCTTCCGATCGCGAAAAGAATGGTCCCAGGCGATTCCCCGGGTCGATATCTAGCCGCACCACCACTAACTTCACACGTGCCTCATATCCCTTATCCCTTAATCGTCCCTTAAATGACGGGGCGCGCCAAAAGTGCCTCAGGGGTTCTTCCGATCGCGAAAAGAATGGTCCCAGGCGATTCCCCGGGTCGATATCTAGCCGCACCACCACTAACTTCACACGTGCCTCATATCCCTTATCCCTTAATCGTCCCTTAAATGACGGGGCGCGCCAAAAGTGCCTCAGGGGTTCTTCTGATCGCGAAAATAATGGTCCCAGGCGATTCCCCGGGTCGATATCTAGCCGCACCACCACTAACTTCACACGTGCCTCATATCCCTTATCCCTTAATCGTCCCTTAAATGACGGGGCGCGCCAAAAGTGCCTCAGGGGTTCTTCCGATCGCGAAAAGAATGGTCCCAGGCGATTCCCCGGGTCGATATCTAGCCGCACCACCACTAACTTCACACGTGCCTCATATCCCTTATCCCTTAATCGTCCCTTAAATGACGGGGCGCGCCAAAAGTGCCTCAAGGGTTCTTCCGATCGCGAAAAGAATGGTCCCAGGCGATTCCCCGGGTCGATATCTAGCCGCACCACCACTAACTTCACACGTGCCTCATATCCCTTATCCCTTAATCGTCCCTTAAGGGACGATTAAGGGCAATCGGGGCGCGCCAAAAGTGCCTCAGGGGTTCTTCCGATCGCGAAAAGAATGGTCCCAGGCGATTCCCCGGGTCGATATCTAGCCGCACCACCACTAACTTCACACGTGCCTCATATCCCTTATCCCTAATCGTCCCTTAAATGACGGGGCGCGCCAAAAGTGCCTCAAGGGTTCTTCCGATCGCGAAAAGAATGGTCCCAGGCGATTCCCCGGGTCGATATCTAGCCGCACCACCACTAACTTCACACGTGCCTCATATCCCTTATCCCTTAATCGTCCCTTAAGGGACGATTAAGGGCAATCGGGGCGCGCCAAAAGTGCCTCAGGGGTTCTTCCGATCGCGAAAAGAATGGTCCCAGGCGATTCCCCGGGTCGATATCTAGCCGCACCACCACTAACTTCACACGTGCCTCATATCCCTTATCCCTTAATCGTCCCTTAAATGACGGGGCGCGCCAAAAGTGCCTCAGGGGCTCTTCCGATCGCGAAAATAATGGTCCCAGGCGATTCCCCGGGTCGATATCTAGCCGCACCACCACTAACTTCACACGTGCCTCATATCCCTTATCCCTTAATCGTCCCTTAAATGACGGGGCGCGCCAAAAGTGCCTCAGGGGCTCTTCCGATCGCGAAAATAATGGTCCCAGGCGATTCCCCGGGTCGATATCTTGCCGCACCACCACTAACTTCACACGTGCCTCATATCCCTTATCCCTTAATCGTCCCTTAAATGACGGGGCGCGCCAAAAGTGCCTCAGGGGTTCTTCCGATCGCGAAAATAATGGTCCCAGGCGATTCCCCGGGTCGATATCTAGCCGCACCACCACTAACTTCACACGTGCCTCATATCCCTTATCCCTTAATCGTCCCTTAAATGACGGGGCGCGCCAAAAGTGCCTCAGGGGTTCTTCCGATCGCGAAAATAATGGTCCCAGGCGATTCCCCGGGTCGATATCTAGCCGCACCACCACTAACTTCACACGTGCCTCATATCCCTTATCCCTTAATCGTCCCTTAAATGACGGGGCGCGCCAAAAGTGCCTCAGGGGTTCTTCCGATCGCGAAAAGAATGGTCCCAGGCGATTCCCCGGGTCGATATCTAGCCGCACCACCACTAACTTCACACGTGCCTCATATCCCTTATCCCTTAATCGTCCCTTAAATGACGGGGCGCGCCAAAAGTGCCTCAGGGGCTCTTCCGATCGCGAAAATAATGGTCCCAGGCGATTCCCCGGGTCGATATCTAGCCGCACCACCACTAACTTCACACGTGCCTCATATCCCTTATCCCTTAATCGTCCCTTAAATGACGGGGCGCGCCAAAAGTGCCTCAGGGGCTCTTCCGATCGCGAAAATAATGGTCCCAGGCGATTCCCCGGGTCGATATCTTGCCGCACCACCACTAACTTCACACGTGCCTCACATCCCTCATCCCTTAATCGTCCCTTAAACGACGGGGCGCGCCAAAAGTGCCTCAGGGGTTCTTCCGATCGCGAAAAGAATGGTCCCAGGCGATTCCCCGGGTCGATATCTTAGTTAGTGGTGGTGCGGCTAGATATCGACCCGGGGAATCGCCTGGGACCATTATTTTCGTGATCGGAAGAGCCCCTGAGGCACTTTTGGCGCGCCCCGTCGTTTAAGGGACGATTAAGGGATAAGGGATATGAGGCACGTGTGAAGTTAGTGGTGGTGCGGCTAGATATCGACCCGGGGAATCGCCTGGGACCATTATTTTCGCGATCAGAAGAACCCCTGAGGCACTTTTTGCGCGCCCCGTCATTTAAGGGACGATTAAGGGATGAGGGATATGAGGCACGTGTGAAGTTAGTGGTGGTGCGGCTAGATATCGACCCGGGGAATCGCCTGGGACCATTATTTTCGCGATCAGAAGAACCCCTGAGGCACTTTTTGCGCGCCCCGTCATTTAAGGGACGATTAAGGGATGAGGGATATGAGGCACGTGTGAAGTTAGTGGTGGTGCGGCTAGATATCGACCCGGGGAATCGCCTGGGACCATTATTTTCGCGATCAGAAGAACCCCTGAGGCACTTTTGGCGCGCCCCGTCATTTAAGGGACGATTATGGGATAAGGGATATGAGGCACGTGTGAAGTTAGTGGTGGTGCGGCTAGATATCGACCCGGGGAATCGCCTGGGACCATTCTTTTCGCGATCGGAAGAGCCCCTGAGGCACTTTTGGCGCGCCCCGTCATTTAAGGGACGATTAAGGGATAAGGGATATGAGGCACGTGTGAAGTTAGTGGTGGTGCGGCTAGATATCGACCCGGGGAATCGCCTGGGACCATTCTTTTCGCGATCGGAAGAACCCCTGAGGCACTTTTGGCGCGCCCCGTCATTTAAGGGACGATTAAGGGATAAGGGATATGAGGCACGTGTGAAGTTAGTGGTGGTGCGGCAAGATATCGACCCGGGGAATCGCCTGGGACCATTATTTTCGCGATCGGAAGAGCCCCTGAGGCACTTTTGGCGCGCCCCGTCATTTAAGGGACGATTAAGGGATAAGGGATATGAGGCACGTGTGAAGTTAGTGGTGGTGCGGCTAGATATCGACCCGGGGAATCGCCTGGGACCATTATTTTCGCGATCGGAAGAACCCCTGAGGCACTTTTGGCGCGCCCCGTCATTTAAAGGGACCCTCCCACCTTCAAAAAAGTTAATGAATTGGTATGAAAGTGATGTCGCTCGGTTCAAAAAGAGCAAAAACGAATATCTACCAAACTTCATCGAAAAATATTCACCGGTTTTCAAGATATTAGACTTTTACTTTTGTTTACTTTTTGGGATCTCCGCTGTTCCTAGCGACTTTATTTGAAAGTGCGGCATTTGTTGCGCGGAAAGCAGCATATACCACCGCGTGCTACAAAAGCGTATATATCTTTCCCGAGCGAAAAAAACAAACATTCCAGTTTTTTGGCGCTTTTGTTTCAATTGTGGTGGTTCTGTTCGAAGGCTCATACAGATGGTGTTTGCGCAAAATTTCCAACGGAAAATCACCGACTATTTAGTGTCGACAGCTGCATATTAACTTTTTGAACACGCCTCCATCACTGCTTGTTTATTGGCTGTGTCTGTGGTATTGGGCTGTGTTGCTGTATCAGTATATACCGTGTGTTGGTGGGTGATTGTGATAATATTTTGATGATTAACCTTTTTATTCAGCGGTAGAGACCCACACGTTGACTCCATTATAAATATTGTCTCTTTATCATGAAACAGACTCAGAAACCTTGGCATGAATGCTCTCAGGCTCTCAAGAGAATGTTGAAATTCAGGTCTCAAAAGATTAAAATTACAATAATGAAATGTTTCACCTACCTTCCAAGCCATAAACACTCATACTGGTACTGGATGGAACTTAAAATAAAAAACAGGGGTGGATAATTAGGGGTTTGTAGCACCCCCTGGGATTTTCCACCAATGAAGTACCTATATGCTGCAGAGACCAGGGCCCTGTTTCACAGTTGATAGCAGCATGCTACTATCAAATTGCGCGAGCTGACGTAATGTGATGAGGTCACACTAATGTCGTTTCGTGTAATCCGTGAGCTGTGTTTGGAACAGAGTTGCTGTTTCGTTGAATGCTATGTGTTTGATCGCGCGGCCGTGAAGCTGTTGGCAGCAATATTTGATGACATCACACAGATTGACGGCGTCATGGTTTGCTGATGTTTCCATGGAAGCCCAATTTGACACGTGTGATAGCAGCGTGCTGCTATCACCGGTGAAACAGGGCCGAGAATAGCATGGTCTGTGTTGCACATATTGATGCTGAAGCTATACCTATCAAATGTCTTTCAGATAACCTACCGAGTGTTCACATTCATCATAAATGCAGTCATTCTCCGGTATGTTACATCTGATGTCCTGGGCATCATCAATGTCAGGTATGCACCCTTTACTTTTTTCCTTTCATGCATCAGTGATGCATCCAATGTCTGAGTTCCTAAGTAGAACATATGCTATTTTCTCACCAGAACTGTAGTGTGTACTCCATAAGAAAAATGCTAATTTTTCATATGTTTCTAGTTGAACAGAGTTTGTTCTTATTTTCTAGTTATTGTATAAAATGAAGTAATATACGGTTATCTTCATAAGCATGAACCGAATTACCTGTTCCTTTTGACTGACATTCAGTTCTTTTAAGTGTAGTTTTAAAGTAGGTAAATCAATTCTGTTCAAAGTTCTGAAGCCCTAGTCTGCTTCCCAGGCCGGCTCTACTCTACTCGACTGCCACCTTTGTCAGTGTGGAGGCTTTCCGTCGGGCGGCGCTGGGCGTGACAGAGAGCAGCAAGTGGCGCCAGGCCATCAACTTGGTGTGGCTCAGGTACATCGCTCCGGTCCGGACATCAGTTTAACTCGAAATGGTCACAGCTGTTGGGAGAAGCTGCATATCGGCAGTTCCCAGCAAGAACATCCCAAGTGTCAAATTTTCGAAACTGTGATTTTCATACCATTCGACTCAGCTCGACGAGCTGAGTCGAATGGTATAGAAATCTCAATTTCAAAAATTTGACACTTAGGATGTGCTTGCTGGGAACTGTCGATATAGGTACCTACTTCAAAAACAGGTGTTGTTGTGGAATGTGGACTGTGGAGGCAGTCAATGGGTAGCAGCTAATCGGCACAGTTCTGTTGAGTAGTAGTGGGTTTAAAAGGTCATTGCCTCGATAAATGACGTTTATTTCTTCAGATGTGGGATCGTCATAGGCACATAAGTATGTAATGTTTTATTGCCAGTGAATTGAGTGTATTACAAAAGAGCAGTGTTGTAATTGCCTCTGACTGACGCCCCGCTCCCCTGTTAGCGTGCCCGTGTCAGCGGCGGTGTCGGCGGCGCTGGCCGGCCTCTGGCTGCACGCGCTCAGCCAGCCGGCGCCCGAGGTGACCTCAGAGTACCGTCTGGGCGTGTGGGTCACCGCGGCCATGGTCGTACTGGAGACGGCCGCCCAGCCGCTGGTCATCCTGGCGCAGGCCATGCTCTTTGTCAAATTGAAGGTGAATGACGGCGGTGGGGTGACGCAGAGGAGAGGAACAGGGTGTCAGGGGAAAATATTTGAGGCGCGTCGGTTCCCCGATGACTCTGCTATATCAGTGAAATTATATCCGAAGCTCAAATCGCCTGCTGTGACAGTCGTTTGCGGATCGTCGATCGTTCACACCGCGTTGAAGTACTGTATTCTCCCTACCTTGCTGGCATATGTGGATTATCTCTGACTCTCTTATCGTCTTCTCGCCCCTCCCCATCTCCTCTCACCACTCTCTCACCCACCCGCTCTCCCTCTCTCCCAAGGTGGTAGCCGACATGGTCAGTCTGTGCAGTCGGGTGGCGCTCAAAGCCTGGCTGATCGCCCTGTACCCGTCCCACGCCATCTGGGCCTACTGTGTGGGCCACGCGGTCAGCTCCGCTCTCCTCGTGGTCATCTATTACGGCACCCTGCTCTGGCACGTCCGCTCACCGGATAACTGTCTACCGGTGAAGTCGGCGAGCGAGCTGGGACCCAGACTGGTGCCGGGACAGGTGAGGCCAGTGAACTATTTGTAAAGGGGCGGGGTTTCAAATGAAGTCAAGCGTTTTCGCGGTCATAGTGGTTTCTTTTGGCCAAGTCGTCGCATTCTTCGTTTCATTTAGCTAGAACTTTAGGTCTAAGGCCTCTTAGATTGCAGTCAAACGGTATTAAGACCTACCTGTGTTACAGACAGCTCTCGGCAGCGCTGGATCGAGTATCCTCAGAAATAGAGCCAAAGTTGTGCTGCCACGTTTTCCCAGCAACCGCGTCTGCCTCTAACATTTCCTGTCGCGACGGTGGCGATGTGACCCTTGCTGCCATCTCTCTTCACTGATCAGTAATACCTCTCCTCCCCTCCCCGTCAGCCGGCGCTGGACCGTGACCAGCTGGCCCTCACCTGGAGCTTCTTCAAACAAGGCCTTCTGAAGCAGTTGCTGACGGAGGGCGAGCGCTACCTGATGACCGCCTTCCACCTGCTCGACTTCTCCGAGCAGGGCCTGTACGACGTGGTGGCCAACCTGGGCAGCCTGGCGGCCCGCTTCCTCTTTCAGCCAGTCGAGGAGAACGCCTACGTCTACTTCTCGCGCACAGTGGAACGGGGAAAGGTAGGTGGCAACGTGGCTGATTGTGTGGTAGGAGGTGTTTGATGTTAGTTTTTTGTTTGTTTGTTTTTTTACTGAGGAGTAGTGGCATTTGGTGAAAATATCAGTAACGTTGACCACAGTGTGTCGATGCCCGGTGAGGCGCCGAAAAAGCTGTAAGCACACACTCCTCTGATATTAGCCAATTATACTCGTAGCTACTCTTCATCTCCGCTATAAGTCCTTACTGCCAGTCGTTGTGATCTTCATCTTGGTGTCTTTTTTGTCATTCAGTTTGTTTTGTTGCCCAGCTTCTATCCTTCTGGCCATCTCTCCCCTTCTCGCCAGTCACTGGAAGGGGACAGTTTGGCACCTCTCTTCCAGCCGGTGCCTGACAGCTCCCTCCCCCTCCAGCCGGTGTCTGCGGTGGCGGGCCGGGTGCTACACGACCTACTCCGCGCTATGAGTCTGACCCTACTATTGGTGCCAATCGGAATTTCTTTTCTTGGAATTCCAATTTTTGTCCAATTCCAATTTGGAATTTGGACGGAATTCTTAACATTTTTTGGAAATTAATCGGAACACAAGGCCTTTAAAATTTAAAATTTTAAAACGGAGGCCTTTAAAACGCTTTTAAACACTTTTAAAATTTACGCAAAAAATGCAAAAATCGTTAAAAATTGGAATAGCCCCCGCTTTGGACAAAATTGGAAATTTACTTGGCAATTTCTTGGAATTGGATCGGAATTGGAATGGAAATTTCATGAAATTGGCACCACTAGACCCTACCCCCTCTCCCTGCAGCCGGTGCCTGCCGCGGCGGGCCGGGTTCTGCACGACCTGCTGCGCGCCATGAGCCTGCTCGGTCTGGTTGCCGTCACGTTCGGCTGGAGCTACTCCCACCTGCTGCTGCGGCTGTACGGAGGCGCCCTGCTGACCGCCGGTCCGGCCGTCAGTCTGCTGCGCGCCCAGTGCGCCTACGTGCTCCTACTGGCGGTGAACGGAGTGCTGGAGTGCTACACGTTCGCGGTGATGCGCCAGGAACAGATCAATGGGTAAGTGCCGTGGAGGGTTTATGGAAAGCAGTCGGGAAATGGTCGGTGGCTTAGTAAGCAGTGAGGTAAATTAGTCGGTAGAGGCTGAGCGGATTAGGAAATGACGTTCTCATGTTGGTTTTTGTTGTTGTTAGACTGCCTTTTGCGGCTAAAGGCGAAGTGGAAAGGCTGGCCAGTCGTGTCGATAAAGTGAAGCTAGGAACGTTACTATCGGGCGCTTTGACAGGTGTTGTGGCGTTTTCCGGTGTTTCAGGTATAACCGGAAGATGGTGCTGCTATCTGTGATATTCGTCATCTCGACAGGGATCTTTACTAGGCTATTCGGCGGGGTTGGATTTATCCTCGCCAACTGCGTCAATATGCTGACCAGGATATACGTTTGGTGAGTTTTTGTGTTTTTGAATAGATTTGATTTGTCCTAATTGGTCTAATTATTTACATCATTATCCAATCTGTCATGGATAGTCAATATCACGCTTTATTCGCCGATCTCGATATACTTGGATCTCGTTACTTCACCCGTCCATCGACTGATACGAATGTCTGCTGTCCCCAATAGTGTCCTGTACCCCTCTCAATTCTCATCCCGTCCCCTCCCCGTATGCTGCTGGTTCCCGATACAGTGTCCCGTGCCACTCTCAACCATCATGTCTTCGTCCCATTTTCTGCTGCTGCTGCCCGCTCGCCCCGTCCAGTGTGTTGCTGGCGCTTGATGCAGTGTCCCGTACCTCTCTCACCCTGTCCCCGCCCCTTGTGTCGCCAGTTACCGGTTCGTGGCCGGTCTGCCGCTGGAGCCGGCGGTGTCCGTGCCGCCGCTGCTCGGTCTCCGCCCGCCGCCCGCCGTGGCTGCCGCGCTGGTGACCGCCGGCCTGCTGGCAGCCGGCTCCGAGAGCTGGCTGTACCCCAGCTCCGCCGCCGCCCATGTGGCTGTGGGCGCGCTCTGTGGGGCCGCCGTGGTGGCCGCGGCGGTGTACAGCGAGCCCCGCCTCCTCCAGGCGGTCAGGGAGCGGGTCGGGGATAAACTGAAGCGCAGCTAGGGGGGAGTGCTACTCACATGGTCACGCAGGGAATAGGGGTTGTTTTGTTGTGATATTTATGTGCATTTTGGGTTGAATATACACCGTGCCTGTCAGTAGAGTGGATCTATCAATTTTAAGACTGGTGCGACTGCAGGGGGCGTTGTGGCTATCGCCCATTTGAGAGCTGGACAGTGCTTGAAAGCAACTTCCTACCGATGAATTTTGGCATTCAGATCCTAATTATAGCCATTTGTGATGGACGATGGCGATGCAGGGGACGGCAGAGGAGGTGTGGGGATGGCACCTCCCTGGAGCTTATGGTAATCGCGGAATCCTATTACCGTTTACCACCACTGCACAGCCAAAGTGGTAAGACCGGAGAGACGCGATCAGGCCGGATTGCCAGTTGTCGATTCCTCTATCGTTGTGGAGGTCGCTTGCAAAGTGAGATGACTGCTTTTCGTAGAGGGCGGTAAAATCGTGGCCGGTTAGCGTCTGGTAGGGCTTGTAGAATAATGATGGGCACGACCGGGTGCTGTATGCTATATGTGGTGACAGCGGCGTTCCTGAGCGTAGGGTGCATCTCCTGCTCTGAAGTCCAGAAGTCCTTATCGTTCTTGTGCATTCACTTTGTCAGTGCCTGATGTCAGTGTCAGTGTTTGTCAGTGTTTCATTCTGTAGCAGACATGCAGTCATATTTGGTTAAATAGAACCTTGCAGTCTGAGGCAGTCTTTTCATTACAGTACCTCATTACAGCGTCTCATTCATTACAGTTCAATATTTAGAAATGCAAGACATTACATATTAGGGCCGATCGGGCATAGAAATACAAAACAACAGTATACGCTCGCTGGCTATTATTCTGAGACTCAGCATTGAACCTGCCATCACTACAATACAGGAGGCGACAGGTGTAGAGGTGATGTCATACTCATCAAGTTCTGCCGACTTGACCCACAAGTTGACTCCATCATAAATATTGTCTCTTTATCATGAAACAGACTCAGAAACCTTGGCATGAATGCTCTCAGGCTCTCAAGAGAATGTTGAAATTCAGGTCTCAAAAGATTAAAATTACAATAATGAAATGTTTCACCTACCTTCCATCGCCAAAAACACTCATACTGGTACTGGATGGAACTTAAAATAAAAAACAGGGGTGGATAATTAGGGGTTTGTAGCACCCCCAGGGATTTTCAGAATTCTCTACCGCTGAATAAAAAGGTTAATCATCAAAATATTATCACAATCACCCAGCAACACACGGTATATACAGCAACACAGCCCAATGCCAGAGAGCCAATAAACAAGCAGTGATGGAGGCGTGTTCAAAAAGTTAATATGCAGCTGTCGACACTAAATAGTCGGTGATTTTCCGTTAGAAATTTTGCGCAAACACCATCTGTATGGGCCTTCGAACAGAGCCACCAAAATTGAAACAAAAGCGCCAAAAAATTGGAATGTTTGCTTTTTTCGCTCGGGAAAGATATATACGCGCTACAAAACGTTTTAGTCAAACATTTAACGGACGTTCGAAAGCCTGATGACGTCATCAGATTCCCGTAATGGTTAAGAGATAGGGACCACGCTGGTCCCACCCTGCAAGTAAAGGGAAGAAATTTCTTGAACACCATAAAGCTGCGGGGGTTGCGACCAGGATAAATGGTGGTTTCTGAGCCTGGCCGCAAACTTGGCTATCTCAACTCAAAACTAATGTTAAGGTGGGAGGGTCCCTTTAAGGGACGATTAAGGGATAAGGGATATGAGGCACGTGTGAAGTTAGTGGTGGTGCGGCTAGATATCGACCCGGGGAATCGCTTGGGACCATTCTTTTCGCGATCGGAAGAACCCTTGAGGCACTTTTGGCGCGCCCCGTCATTTAAGGGACGATTAAGGGATAAGGGATATGAGGCACGTGTGAAGTTAGTGGTGGTGCGGCTAGATATCGACCCGGGGAATCGCCTGGGACCATTCTTTTCGCGATCGGAAGAGCCCCTGAGGCACTTTTGGCGCGCCCCGTCATTTAAGGGACGATTAAGGGATAAGGGATATGAGGCACGTGTGAAGTTAGTGGTGGTGCGGCTAGATATCGACCCGGGGAATCGCCTGGGACCATTATTTTCGCGATCGGAAGAACCCCTGAGGCACTTTTGGCGCGCCCCGTCATTTAAGGGACGATTAAGGGATAAGGGATATGAGGCACGTGTGAAGTTAGTGGTGGTGCGGCTAGATATCGACCCGGGGAATCGCCTGGGACCATTCTTTTCGCGATCGGAAGAACCCCTGAGGCACTTTTGGCGCGCCCCGATTGCCCTTAATCGTCCCTTAAGGGACGATTAAGGGATAAGGGATATGAGGCACGTGTGAAGTTAGTGGTGGTGCGGCTAGATATCGACCCGGGGAATCGCCTGGGACCATTCTTTTCGCGATCGGAAGAACCCTTGAGGCACTTTTGGCGCGCCCCGTCATTTAAGGGACGATTAAGGGATAAGGGATATGAGGCACGTGTGAAGTTAGTGGTGGTGCGGCTAGATATCGACCCGGGGAATCGCCTGGGACCATTCTTTTCGCGATCGGAAGAACCCCTGAGGCACTTTTGGCGCGCCCCGATTGCCCTTAATCGTCCCTTAAGGGACGATTAAGGGATAAGGGATATGAGGCACGTGTGAAGTTAGTGGTGGTGCGGCTAGATATCGACCCGGGGAATCGCCTGGGACCATTCTTTTCGCGATCGGAAGAACCCTTGAGGCACTTTTGGCGCGCCCCGTCATTTAAGGGACGATTAAGGGATAAGGGATATGAGGCACGTGTGAAGTTAGTGGTGGTGCGGCTAGATATCGACCCGGGGAATCGCCTGGGACCATTCTTTTCGCGATCGGAAGAACCCCTGAGGCACTTTTGGCGCGCCCCGTCATTTAAGGGACGATTAAGGGATAAGGGATATGAGGCACGTGTGAAGTTAGTGGTGGTGCGGCTAGATATCGACCCGGGGAATCGCCTGGGACCATTATTTTCGCGATCAGAAGAACCCCTGAGGCACTTTTGGCGCGCCCCGTCATTTAAGGGACGATTAAGGGATAAGGGATATGAGGCACGTGTGAAGTTAGTGGTGGTGCGGCTAGATATCGACCCGGGGAATCGCCTGGGACCATTCTTTTCGCGATCGGAAGAACCCCTGAGGCACTTTTGGCGCGCCCCGTCATTTAAGGGACGATTAAGGGATAAGGGATATGAGGCACGTGTGAAGTTAGTGGTGGTGCGGCTAGATATCGACCCGGGGAATCGCCTGGGACCATTCTTTTCGCGATCGGAAGAACCCTTGAGGCACTTTTGGCGCGCCCCGTCATTTAAGGGACGATTAAGGGATAAGGGATATGAGGCACGTGTGAAGTTAGTGGTGGTGCGGCTAGATATCGACCCGGGGAATCGCCTGGGACCATTCTTTTCGCGATCGGAAGAACCCCTGAGGCACTTTTGGCGCGCCCCGTCGTTTAAGGGACGATTAAGGGATAAGGGATACCTGCTAGGGCAAAATTAATGTCATATTCGTGCTCCCCGTCCCCGAATTGACCAGATATGACGTTTTCAAGTGATTCGGTACTCGACGCTGAATACGAATCCGAATCCGACGCCAACTTCACGCACATCCCGCACAAAGCGTTTCATTCAAGGCCATCTATAGAGTTTCATTTTACGGTTTTGCTCTATGGAGGCTTATCCGTTGACCGCGAACCAAAATAAGGGCAATTTGTCTTTGACCTCGGAAAAGTGTCTGGTCACCTGACCTCTGGGCTCTGCTGGACCAAAAATAATCAAAGCGTAACATTGCGACCTTCACAACACTGCTGACGTCTTGTAACTATATAGTCCAGGGGACGAGTTAGGTCCTCGTTTAGACCCCCTCGCCATCGCCGGCTTGAAAATTCATGGGCCCCAGCGGGCACTGGCTTACGCGCAGATTCACAGCATAGGCTTTTCGATTTCAGGATTCACATAAGCTTTTAAGAGCTTGTTTTGGAGCCCATATTTCAAAACTCAGTGGTGGAAAACACTTAAAATCAGCCTGACCTCACCTGACCCTAGCTTCTCCAAATGTGTCACGAGACAAATTTTGAAATAAATCCAAAATGCCACAGACTTCGTTTCCAAGAAGTTCTAACAGATTCGGACTATGTGTTTTAAGTCCTTGACCCACCATTGACGGTCGACGAATGACCTGACCATAATATCAGATACCACCGGCTTCATGTTGTCTAGGCCAGCATCTTCATTTTTCGTGAAGCTCTTATACTCGGTCAGGAACCGATCAGCTGTAGGAGTCCGATCGACCCCCTCCCCCTCCCCTCCCCCGGCCTCTAGGTACATTAGCTGCTGTAAATACGCCAATAAGGACAAGGGTGGACCCGAAGAAGAGAAAGTTGAATACTAAACACACTAATATGTCCAAAATAAGCTATGGATTTACTTGGGGTACTCCTAAGGATATTCGATGGGTAGTCTTGGGATTTGAGACGAGAATCTTGGGAAATTCTGGTCGAGATCTTGGGATGGAGCAAAAATGTGGATGGCATCACTGGTGGCTGTCCAATTGTTTGAGAACGTGTGGGGGCTGCGTGTGAGATTACGAGCAGGAATTCAATTTTCTAGGTCGTCAAATTGGTTAAATACTATGCTAATACAAATTTGTAAAGTAGACTAGACTATAATGCTTTTATGCAACTTAGATTTAGTGTGAGACTAATGCATTGCACAGTCAGTGTCAAATTATAATCCATTCCAGTGAAGAAGTTAAATGATTTTGGCTTAAACCGAAGGTGTCATTAAGAGCATTAATGACATTTATCAATAAAATTTGATTTACTGTCCTGCGATTGAATTACAGGAAAATTATATGCTAACAGTTGTTGTAAAGCAGGCGTCACACTTGTTTTTTGCAACCAAGAAGAAGCGATATAGGTACCTACCTATAGTGATGCTTTCTAAGCAAACCAAACCAAACCTAGCAAAATCTGACCTAGTCCTAACCTTACCTACAACCTACAACCTAACCTGCAGTGCCTCTCCTTGGTTGCAAAAAGCAAGTGTGATGCCTGCTCTTTACTACTAAAAATGCAAGCTACAAAAGTAAGATTAACCCTCACCCGATTTGGTGTTTTGCCAGCCGTGAACGTATTGGGGAGGGGGTAAGTTAATATTTCCAAGGGGGGTCCATTGGATCCCCACTTGCCGTTTGGCCCCTGATCGAGCTAGATTTTTGTGGTAAAAACGAGCGTGTTTCCCGTGACGAGAGAACTGAGGAGGCCGATAATACTCAATTTTAAGGTCATTGGTCATTGGTTGACCTCACAGGTTGAGTCAATGACCCAAAAGTTTGGAATATCAGAACCTGGGCTGTTAGAATGTCGTAATGTGTGGCTACCGTAAGGTGGGGCTATTTGAGACAGTGGGGCTATTTGAGACAGTATTTAAAATTGTTATAAAATAAAAACTGTTTGAAATTTATGCTTAATTTTTGCTGAGGCGATTTACTGCTCGATTCCACACCTTCCTGAGCAAAAATATCACATAAAAATTGAACGATCTTCATTTTATACCGATTTTAAATACTGTCTCAAATAGCCCCACTGTCTCAAATAGCCCCACTTTACGGTACCATGTTTTTTCGGGGTGCTGCTCATGAAAATCATGTTAGTATTGATCACAGATGATGTCATCATACATGTAGGCCAGGTCGGGTCAGGTCAGGTCAACCAGTAGGGGTCCTGCCAAGTATTTAAAGTAGGTAGGTGTCCACTGCCTCTGACAGCTTCGCAACATGTTACAAAGGCACCAAAACTACTTTGTAAATGTTCAAATGGTTGCTGAATTCGAATTCAGCTCCAAAAATTAGCTTACAAACATGCATAACTTGAAAAAATAACTGAGCTCATCAAAGATCAATGACCTGATCTGACCTTCAGGTGACCTTCACACCCACCCTGTTGACCCTAAAGCATGGGACCAACATCATATCAGATGTTTGAACGCTTGAAACCACGAAAAACCGCAAACGCGCGGCTAATGCGAGCCGACATACGCCGAATCGCCATTCCGGCCAAACATGATCTCGAAAAGTAAGTCACAGGTCAAAAGTCATTTGGGTCAGGGTCATAAAATTCTATAAAATGTTTTATATAAAATGTTCAGGGTAGATGTGAAATTGATTAACGCGAGGTTACTGAAAGGTTCGTCTCGATCGGCCCCTTTTTAGCAAGCTATTCGCGAAAAACCGAGGGAGGTTCGTTCGACCCCCCTAAACGGGCGAGGGCTAAGCTACAGCACTGTAAAGGAAAGAAACCACTTTTAACCCTCGCCCCGTTGGGGGGCCAATTTGCCCCCCCCCCCCTGTGGTTTTTCCTGAATAGCAAGAAAACGGCGGCGCGCAGCGCCGCCAAATTTTCAGTGCCTTCCCGGGCATCAACTTGACACCTTCACACCAAATTTCAATTCTCAGGTCACCTTAGGTCAGGATTTATTGAGGTCAAACTGAGGTCATGTTCGAGCAAAAATGAGCAAAAAACATGCAATCTTGAAACGCTCACCAAATCTACAGTTATCAAGCAATTTCAAAGTTCCTTAAATGGTGTAGTAGACAAAGCGGCGATACAAAACTGCTATCTCGGATTTTCAAAATTTTGGGTTTTTGACCCCCAAAAATTCAAAAGATTGATTTTTTTATAAGAACTAAAAAAATCCAAAAAAATCCGAAATTCGAAAAAACTGGAATAAATGTGATAGTCCCTGCGCTCTTCTATATACGTACCAAATTTCAGATCGATATCTCGTTTTTTGGCCAAGTTATAGCGAAACAAACTTCAAAAATGATGACGTCAAATTTTTGAACTCAATTTTTAGCGATTCTAGACCACGTAGGGCAAAACAAAGACCACCATTGAACACACCGTGACGAGCTGCATCGATTCGATACCCATTTTATGCAAAAATATCAACTTTGAAATTTGACCTAATTTGACCTCACCTTGACCAAAACGTGACCTAAGCTGGCCCCAAAGGCTGCCTGACCCACATAATCGCATTTGTCATGTAAAATGGACCATAAAACATGTATCACACGACACTTTCATATTGTGACCCCCCCCCCCCCCCCCCAGTGACCTGACCTCTGTGACCTGACCTCTGTGACCTGACTTGGTATCAGTGACCTCAAATAGCAAAATATGTGTTTGAAGAACATTTCCCCATCGATGATTTTCAATGAAATGCAGTTTGCTGGATTTTACAACGCATTTCTTGAAATGCCTGTAAACGGTGAAAATTCGACCTTTGACCTGACCTGTGACGTCATCGGTTTGACCTAGGTCGAATTTAGCAACCATTTGAATTTTGAACATTTAAGAAGTAGTTTTGATGCCTTCGTAACATGTTACGAAGCTGTCAGAATCGGTTGACACGTACTACGAATACCCGGCAGGACCCCTACTGGTTGACCTGACCTGAACTGACCCGACCTGGCCTAAATGCATAAAGGCATCATCTGTGATCAAAACTCACATGATGTTCGTGGTCAGCACCCCGAGAAAAAAACAGCACACTACGATGTTCTAACAGGTCTCGATTTTTCCGACTTTTGGGTCATTGAGCTGACCTAGAAGGTCAACTGATGACCTAGGATCTTCAAATTGGGTATCATCGGCTTCCTCTCGTCACGGACAGCACGCTCGTTTTTTCCGCGAAGCTCTAGCTCGATCAGGGGCCAAACGCGAGGGGGATCGTACCCCCCCCCCCCCCTTGTGCCGTCGAACGACGCAAAATGGCCTGTGTTCGTTTATTTCAAGTTTGACCTTCACTGTAAATGTCTCTTTGAACACAGCACGAGAATCGGTAGCTGAATTACTGAGAAAACTGGTTAACGCACATTGATATCACAGACGATCAACTTTTATCAAAAATATTTTTACCTGGATCCTAGTTCCCAGACTCTCAACTCGTATTTGTCTATATTTACAATTCTACAGGTATAGACGACTTGTCAGGAATTATAACTCAACTAATAACTAAATCCTAGGTACGGTGTGTAACTTAACCATACATCATCGGTGTTCAAAACTTTTTGGAAAAATATTCATTCATATCTCCAATACAAAGTGCGCTAACCAGTTTTCTCAGTGATTCAGCTAGCAATTCCCGTGCTGTGTTCAAAAAGATATTTAAGGTGAGGGTCAAACTTAAGAAAAATGAAGTATAGATTGTCATACCCTATCTGACAGGTGGCAATAGCTGAGCTATTGGTCAAGTAGGTACATACTTGAAAGGCTACATCATGCATGTCATTGTGATCTGTTTATGGCATCTGATGATAGTTACCTGTCTTTTTCAGGTAGCTACAATTTCCCACATTTACATGCTCTATTTGGCACCTGTCACTGATTACTGAGCAGTCATGGCAAACAGCGTGAAGGCTCTGATTCTCTTAGCATTTTCTGGTGCTCTTGGGATCATGTTCATGGTGCTGGCCTGCGCACTGCCACAGTACAACAACTGGTGGCCGTTCTTTGTCATCGTGTTCTACATGCTGGCGCCGCTGCCGTACACCATCGCGCGCCGGTACGCCGAGGACTCGGGCGCCGGCAACGCGTGCACGGAGCTGGCCGTTTTCCTCACTGCCGGTATCGTCATCTCAGCGTTCGGCCTGCCCATCGTACTTGCGCACGCGCCCGTCGACGGTCCGGTCATCGAGTGGGGCGCCTGTGCCCTCGTCTTCACAGGAAACATCATCATGTTTCTGACAATCCTGGGCTTTTTCGTGGCATTCGACAGTGAGGGGGACTCGTGGAACTACTTCTAAATCGTCGGAAGATTTGGTTGTGGATCGGCAACGGTACTTTAAAGTTACTCGGTTGGAGCTGCTACGGCGAGCGTTGTTGTGTTCTGGGCAGTGCAAGCCTAACTATATACCTACCGTATAATTGATCCTCCCCTGTCAATTGTTTTTGGCTCGGGTGTGACTGGAAGTTGGCACCTTATAACTTGAAGCGTTTATCGTGCACGTCAACCAGCGATTGGTGAATCCACTTGTTTTAATCTCATCCTCGTTTCACTGTTCTGTTGGCCTATTTTACCATTGATTGGCCTGGTAACTTAGCCATCCGTTGTGTCGTTACCCTGTAAATATTAGATATAGACTCGGGGGGGACAGCGTGTCCCTTGTGATAAACTAATGGGCCCCATTGAGTTCGAGCGGTCGTGGATGTGAGTGAGATATCACATGTTTAGTGTGTATTCTGTATGTGGCCGCGATTCCGCCACTGATAAGGTGTTCAACGAGCGAGGACCGTGATTCCGGAACAGCCTGGTGTCCGCCGCGGACAGTACTTGCCGTACCTTATCACACCCGTGCCAAAAACAGGCCAATCATCGCTTGTCTTCAGACCTGGAGGCTTTGGCTGCCCTGTGCACGAAATGCACGTAATATTCGCCGGGTAATACGAGGCTCGATATTGTGATTTGGTGACATTAGATGTGGCGAATAGGTATTACATTAGATAAAGTGCGTTAATAACTAATATCCGGTTGTGTAACTCGTCATGTATCTGTGTATAAGAAGCATCCCTGCACTGCCCGTGTGAGAACATACTCTTCGGGCGCTCGCCGCTACAACGATCTCGCGCTCGCAGCCGGTGGCGGTCGGCGCTCCCTGTGGTGGGCACGGTGCGACGGTGTGACTGTAGGCATCACTCGGTGGTGGATTGTCCGCCACTTCATAACCAATGGTGAACAATATAAACCGTACCTGGCTCTATCGATCTCCGAGTTGTCAACGGAAAATGGAATGGATCATTGACATTAGTTAATATCTAGCATTTACTTCTTACTTCTTAGTAACATCCCAGAAACATACACTTTGGTCATTACAGCGTTCAATTTACACTCATACTGGACCTCTTGGGACAAGTGTGTGTGGGGGGGGGGGGGAGGGGCGATCAGACAAAAGGATGCCCTTTGCTCGTGCTTTATTCCTAGTCCGCATTGTTCCGTTGTCTGTAGTGTACTACATAGGTATCGTTTTCTATGCATATGCGGATTGCGGACTTATAAAAATGCATATAATCACAACACAGCATAATTGTAAATGTAATGACAATTCAACGCCTCTTTGTATGTCTTTCACTTTTCGCATTCATGGCCACTTTCCCACCCAGACCATGTTCGTCAGGGCACGATCTCATTTCCCGATGTCGCGGCTCCCGGCGGTGGGTCTCATTTCTCGATGTCGCGGCTCCAGGCGGGGTCGGCGCTCACGTAGCGCTCCGGCCGGCCGCCGTGGTGCCGGTAGTACCACTCGGACACGCCGTGCGCCGACAGGCCGTTGACGCGGTACGAGCAGCGGCGCTCCAGGATGCGCGCCTCCCACTCCCAGCCGATGTACACCTCCTGGACGTCCTCCACCTTGACCAGCGCGTGGTAGGTGCGGCCGCCGGCGCCGAAGCTGAAGCCGTAGTCGGCCGGCGGAGTGCCCTGCTCGCCGTGGTAGCCCAGCTCCAGATCGCACCAGTCGAGCGCGTGCAGTCGGCCCTCCGGGGTGTACAGATAGCCGAGCTCGATCCGCGAGAATGAGTAGGGCTGCGAGACGACGCCGACCTGGGCGCGCGTGCCGTCCTCCATGATGAGCGTGTGCAGGCCGTAGCGGTGCAGCAGCGTCCAGTCGCGGTAGCGCGCGTAGCTGTGGTCGCGCATACCGGTCACCTGGAGCCGGTGCTCGCGGCCCGATACCGTCACCGTGCCGCTCGTGGTGCCGATCTGCTCGTAGTGCGTCTGGTGCGCGTCCCGCAGTCGCTCGAAGAACTCCCGCGTCCACGGCTCGAGCGCCATGGCGCGCGCCACCGCCAGCGGCGCCATGTCCGTGTCGAAGTCGAAGTAGGGCAAGTCGGAGCGGTACGTCAGGTCGAACGTCACGTCCACCAGTTTCTCGTCGAGCCGCATTTTTCCGGAGAATTGGAGTCTCCAGCAGCGCATAGGTTCCAGCGGCGTGAGCCGGAACCCGCCGCCGGCGTGCGAGTGCTCGTCGCCGAACACGGTGGTGTCAGGGTGGCGCTCCATCTGCAGCGTGCCCACGCCCGGCAGCGTCACCAGACAGATGGTGTTGGAGACGCCGCGCGGCCGCCGCGCCAGCGCCAGCACCAGCCACGAGCCGTCGCCGGCCGCGCCCTGGAACAGCACGGCGTCCAGTGCGCGCGGGTGCTCGGCCAGCGGCTGCACGCAGTCCATCTCAGCCGGCGAGGCGCGCGACTTGACACCGTAGCCGGCGGCGGTGCCCGGCTGGGCTCCGCGCCGCTGGTCCCGCGCCGCCTTCCACTTCCTGAAGGTGAGGAAGAGCCAGAAGGTGGCCACCTTGGGGTAGTAGAAGATGCCCGGGCGCGTGTAGACGTCGAACATGACGCGCGGCGGCACGTCGCCGGCGTACAGTCGGTACAGGGCCAGCGTCACCACAGCGGCCATCGCCAGAGAGAACAGCATGGTGGCGGCAGGGGAAAGGCTAGCCGAGTCACAGTCACTGCACCCTTCCGCCGGCTGCCGGCCACTGGTGGCGTCTAATGGCCGCCGGCCGACCGCTGACGGCGCCAGATAGCCACCGGCCGGACCGAAGTCCGCGCGCCGTCGGCAGATTACCGCCGGGGCCATCCGCGTCACGTGACCTCTGTGGGATCGCGGCGGCATACCGTGTGTGTGGGGGGGGGGGGGGGGTACAGAGGTCGGCTGGGGCTATCGCGATCACTGAGGTGTGTCACGGAATCGGCGACCATGGTGTGGTGGTGTGGAGAAATCTGTTTGTCTGACCAATGTGTCGGTAATGTTTGTATCACCCGCCTGGCAACGTATAAAAATCCATATAAACATTGCCCCGTGCAGTCGACCTCTTTCGATTTGGAGGAGACTTAAGTAGCTTCAGCAATTCTAAACTCTGGAACTTCATAGTCGACATGATCCTTTGATCATGATCATGACATGATCCCTACTCTATAAACTGAAGAAGACTTTTTTTTAGACATTTCATAATCACGTTTCGCCAGCCAAAGTTTCATCCGCCTAGGTGTGTTATCGAGAGCCACTTGAACTGCCCTCGCCCCGTTGGGGGGGGGGGGGCATTTTGGCCCCCCTGTGGTTTTTCCTGAATAGCAAGAAAACGGCGGCGCGCAGCGCCACCAAATTTTCAGTACCTTCCCGGGCATCAATTTGACACCTTCACACCAAATTTCAAGTCTTAGGTCACCTTAGGTCAGGAGTTATTGAGGTCAAACTGAGGTCATGTTTGAGCAAAAATGAGCAAAAAACATGCGATCTTGAAACGCTCACCAAATCTACAGTTATCAAGCAATTTCAAAGTTCTTTAAATGGTCTGGTAGACAAAAAGCAGCGCTACAAAACTGCTATCTCGGATTTTCAAAATTTTGGATTTTTGACCCTAAAAAATTCAAAAATTGATGTTTTTAGAAAAACTAAAAAAAATCAAAAAAATTCCGAATTTCGAAAAAACGGAATATATGTGATAGTCCCTGCGCTCTTCTATATGCATACCAAATTTTAGATCGATATCTCGTTTTTTGGCCAAGTTATAGCGAAAAAACTAAAATGATGACGTCAAATTTTTAACTCAATTTTTAGCGATTCTAGACCACGTACGGCAAAACAAAGACCACCATTGAACTCCCCGTGACGAGCTGCATCGATTCGATACCCATTTTATGCAAAAATATCAGCTTTGAAATTTGACCTAATTTGACCTGACCTTGACCAAAACGTGACCTAAGCTGGCCCCAAAGGCTGTCTGACCCACATAATCGCATTTTTCATGTAAAATGGACCATAAAACATGTATCACACGACACTTTCATATTGTGACCCCCCAGTGACCTGACCTCTGTGACCGGACCTGGTATCAGTGACCTCAAATAGCAAAATATGTGTTTGAAGAACATTTCCCCATCGATGTTTTTCAATGAAATGCATTTTACTCGATTTTACAACGCATTTCTTGAAATGCCTGTAAACGGTGAAAATTGGACCTTTGACCTGACCTGTGACGTCATCGGTTTGACCTAGGTCAATAAAATTGGGTCACAAGGTAGTTCCCTGATAGGGCTATCCAACACCGTTTGCCGCTTGTCGCTAGGTTGCGTGGTTCTCGAGATCTTAGGGGGGGCCAAAATGCCCCCCCCCCCCCAACGGGGCGCGTTGCTCGGCAGAGCCCAACGGGGCGCGGGTTAAAGCAGACAACTCGAGGAAAACCAGTTCCGTTTACGAAAGTTACTTTACGGATTCGTGCATCTTATTTCTCGAAATTCCTTTTCAATATCAATTATAAAAAGGCCAATATCAGGACCTCCATGTTTCACAAAAACGAATAGCGATACACTAAAACACAATAGTGCCATCTCTTCGATACTTCATCAGACTCGACAATCACAAGCATTCCACACTAAAAAAAAAAACATCGAAACCGCCTCGCAATGCCTTGGGAGACACAAGTAGTCACGGTAGCCACTCGCCGCGCCCAGTTTGAGTGTAACGCACGGTGTCCGGCGAGCGCTGAGCAGTCTCGGCTCACAGCGGCAGCCACATCAGCGGCGTCCCCAGCCGGCCGGCTCCCGCGGCTCTGAGACGCTACGACGGCCTGGTGAGACGGCCCTCGCACCGCCGGCCCTCCCGGTCGATGGCGTAGTTGTAGTCAGTCTCGTTGTTTATGGCGTTCTCTATGGCCTCTTCCAGCTTCTCCCGAGGGATGTATAAACGTGATATCTCCTGCAAAGTGGCAAATACAGCATTCAGAGAGAGACGAGAAATCTAACCACTGCGTTTCCAATAAACGAACGGTGCACGATTTCATCGCTACGTCTCAACAATTCTTACTTAACATTTCTCTACATCAAAGTCAAGCAACTACATTTCCTATCTAGTTCATTTCCCTACCACCAGTCACAATTCTCCTAACCAGTCAAGTCCACTAACCACGGGGGTCACGAAGATAGTCGACACTCGACAGCACAAACCATGAAATATTATGCCATCAACCATATTTACAAACGGACGGTAATCCATTTTCTTGAACATCTTTTCTTGATCTGGCACAGTGACTCCGACTCACCTTCTGTGTGCAGACCGACTGGACCTGGTGACTCCGACTCACCTGCGTGCGGATCAGGCTGACGGGGCCCGGTGACTCCGACTCACCTCCTGTGTGCGGATCAGGCTGACGGCCGACTCGTGGTCACGCTGCTGCTGCTCCACGGCATCCTGCTGCAGACGCTCCACCTTCCTCCGGATCGCCTCCGCCTGAGCACTCAGCCTGCAATGGGTGTGACACATCACTGATCACGCAGCCCGCGGGCGGTATACCGCATAACTTACGTCACTGGGCTACAAAATAAAAAGGCATATACATAGTACACACGTCTGACGTCATCACCTTGCAACCTGACCTAACATCGTGTCAAGTTGGGAATAGACCTTCGCTAGATCGCTAAGAAAATAGAGTCTCGCTAGTTCACCATACCTATGGCATTGGCTACGAGATGACAATTTTTCCGCAGTCGGGTGTTTCACACTGTGCAGAGGTGCCCAGTTACCTAGCCTGACGCTCGGCGGCCATGCGCGCGTTCTCGGCCCGGTTGAACTCCATCAGCTGGCGGTGCTCCGCCTCCTCCTCCTCTGGCGACAGCACGTGACCGGGCTGGGCGCGGCTGCTCTGACGCCGCTGCCAGTCGGCGCGCAGGTACCCACTGAGTACAAACATCACCAGACACGGTCAGAGCCCAGCCGCCACTCAGTGGGGTTAAAGAAAGGTCACGGCATGGAGACTATCCACAGATTCGATGTCTCTCGGGCGACAAAGATTCTACGTCGCCCGGACTCAAGCCAATACTGTTCGAAGTAAGCGGGGGCTGGGCTGCGGCTATCGCAGGGGATTGGCCGGACGACGTAGAGCCTTTGTCATCTGGGTGACATCGAATCCGGCCTATTTTACGTAAATTTGCGACATTTCTTCTCAATTGTGAGGCGTGGCTCATTCAAATAACATCATCGAACAAACATTGAGTCGATACGTACATTTAACAAATTCACACAGAGAACCAAAACATCACTGTGCTTACTTCAATGACTTCATTGCCGTTCGGTAACTGTTGTAGAGGTTTTTTAGTTCCACCCGGTCTTCCTGTGGGATCTCCGGCCGCTTGGGCACGCGATACACCTTGGATGGTGCCGTCGGCATCCATCGTGTTTTATGCAGTGAGACCGCTGAAACTGTCAGACATCTTGAGCCGGCATCCAGCCACCAGTCCCTCCGCGCCAGGCCTGACAGGCAGCCTCGGCTCAGCGCCATCTTGCTGGCTGACCAGATACCTGCGGCAAAGTAACGATGAAAAATTGATGCACTTAACCTTCACCACCACTTTTAACATGGATTATTTAGCAAAAGCAGCTACCTGTCTCAGAGGCTATAACCTCAGCCAAGTAGCATGTAGTTGTTTTATAACTTTAACTAAGCAGTGCAATATGATCAGTCAATGCATAATTAGCTTCTGCGCAACATGTATTTAGCCTCTGTCATAGATAAAAGATGACATTCTTCCTATATGACAATAGTCAATTCCTTTGGTGAATATTTATCATTTTTTACAATCGCTCAACAGTGTGTGGGACAAGCATAAAAATCATTTAACCATAGCAAAAACTAGGTAATTTGGGGAATTGACAAGGAGAATTTGAATCCAGGCATCAAGAAGTCATTTGAAGGCGGTTCGTCTAAAATGTCGCCAAAGTGGCGTATTTCTTTTAATCAATCTCAGAACTTTAATTAGGAATGTCTAATTTTGAAAATTTCTGAAGGAAAGCATTTTGATCATTGGGCATTGTCTAAGCCTCCCTCTTAAACTTTCGTTTGCAGAGAGTTACTTTGACTTGTCTAGGATTCCATTTACAACAGTCCATATAACTGAATGTCATTAAAAGACAACGATGAATAAATTATCACGGTACCCATACAATAAAAAAATAAATATGCGCGTTTTCCCACGGGTTTGTTGATGTCTTGTGAGCGTCACGAATGTAGCCAGTAATTACTGCCATATTGCTACCAAATTATGAAGAAGCGTGGCACGCAAAGAAAAACTCGTCGAGCTATCCAATCCCCAATCGATTTCTGACCACCGACATCGACACCGAATGTGTCTCTTTTAGGAGGATGTCAATTGGGTTGCCATGAAGTCATTGACCCGCTAGCAGCAAAGCCGGTCAGTTCCTTGGCAACATAACACAAGCACCATGTCACTTGTGATAGAGGTCCGGCCAATATTCTTACAGATCAAGATAGGTCCGGCTATAGATAGCTGTGGTCGCTTCTTCGTGTGAATAGAGAACACGCGAGGCACACGTTTTCAAGTTGTTTCCTTAAATTCATGGTTGTCTCTAGGCCGCCCTCGCTATAGTCATCGATCTGCTGCAGTCGATTTCATTATCGTCTCGATCTCGGCTATCGCCTTTTTCACAAGCATTTTCTGTTGAGACCGCAATCAAACCGTACTGACCGTGTCGTCTTTAGCACTTAGCAGGCCAGTTTTGTACAAATCATGCTGCAACCGATCATCATGAAAGGAGCGCATTCTGATTGCTTCACTTGAACCGGCATAAATGAGTGACCTTCCCTTACCTAACTTTGCCTATAAGACGTTCGACGATTGGTCTATGTTTTCGTCAATTCACTGAAACTCAAATCCACTAGTAAAAAAAAAAAAACTGTATTTGACAGTGAAAATTAACAGCGCTCTTTGATGTGGATGAGGGTCACGACACTCCCAGCTCCGAGCTGCGGCGCTCAGTCTTTCTTCGCGAGCAGCAGGTTTCGGAACTCCGCGTTGCTCTTGGGCGGCGCGGCGGGCTCGCCAGACGCCGCCTGGTCGGGCCTCTTCTGCAGGGCGCGAGGGACAAACGCCGTCTGCTGCCGGCGACCCCTGGAAGGCGGAACAGGGTGTCACGCGGGGAGGTGATGACACTGCAGTGACCGAGACTCAATCAGCAGACATCGAACAACTTCCCCCACTGACGTGACGGCAATAACTTGTTTTACAAATATGTGGTCCGGAAAGAGAACGGGACTTGCGACATAGGATCAATTCAGGAAGTTTAATGATTTTATGAAAAATAGTTTTTGCGTAAAAAGGAAATGCTTACCCCTAGAAAAAGACCATTCAGGTTTGTACCTGAGCCTGTGTTCCATCCTCGCTTACCAAAGCCACCACCGGGACCTTTCTTGACGCTTTTACTTCGTCGATTTTCTTCGCAGCATTTTACATCAAATACGTCCATCACCAAAAAGCTAAAGGTATATAACGCAGGTACTCTCGTCAGGATGCCATGGACATTGTATTTATAAGTCACTGGACAGCGCACGGCGCGTCCGTCCGTTCTGCTCACCTGGCCGGAGCTCCTCGGCCCGCGGCCGGTCGGGGCGGGGGTCGGCCGGCACCGCCCGCTCCACCGGCGCCGGTCGGTGCGCCGGCCCCACCCCGGGCCTTGGACGGGTCACTGATGGCCACCAGGATGGTGCTTCCCTCCAGCTGGGTCTGGTCGGTCTGCTCCACCGCCCGCTGGGCCGCCGCCTGTCACATAGTGGTGGTGGCAGTGGGTGACCCGTCAGAACAGCACAGTAGGACTGTTCAGTGTGCCCGCCACTCCAGCTGCTGCCTAATGCTGCTGAAACACTCCACCAATCGCAATTACCTCGAGGATAGAATGGGGGGATGAGAGACGGGAGCAGTGGCGACGCATTTATAAGTGGTCCTCGGGAGAAAGCCAATGATGACAGCTGACAGCTGATGATGACAGCTGCCAATGATGAGGTGCTGACACTCAACAACGCTCAAAATCGATCCACACACGAATAAGGATGACGCCACGAATGAAGCAATTCCACAGAAGCCAGGCTCCACAAGGTTCAGGCTCCGACGCTTTCCGCCGCCGTGTCGCGTCACTGCGGTCTCACCTCGTCCTCAAACTCGACGTATGCTATGCCCTTGGGGTAGCCGTTACGCAGAGTAACTAGCCGGACGTCCTTAAGCGGCCCGAACTCGGAGAACTTGGTGCGGAGTGTGTCAGCGGTGGTCTTCAGCGACAGACCTGTAACGGACAGATGGCGGCAATCAGCGCGAGAGATGGCAGGGAGGGAGAGAGAGTAGCAGACGAGTGAAATGATCGCATTACGTTATGATCGCACGCCCAGTAAGGAAGCTTCGAATCAAATCAATGGCCATCGTTTGAAATATCGGAAAACAACTAGCAAGTGTACGATATTCTGATAAATTGAAGAAAAAAAAACTTTTCTTGGTTGCGATTTTAAATGGAAGCAAAAATAACTTCCATAAAATCAGAAGCCAGAAGGTCGTAAGTAAAAATTGCTTTACCGTTGTTTTATTTAATTTTATGATTTCCCTTTGGGGTCTCAATCAGCTTCTATTCGCACTTTGCACATCAGCCACGAACCTTTGATGAAGAGTTTGTTTCTCTCCATGCCGGTGTTGTATTTGAAGGCTTTGGGCCGCTCCCCGCCGCTCCAGAGCCGGGAGACGAAGCACGGCCGACCGTCGATCGGACTATGGTCCTGCTTCAGCGCCGCCTCGGCCGCCGCCTGAAACGAAAGGCCACGGTCAACAGAAGCTGGGTCGCAGGCGGTCACCGGCGTACAGAGTGGTCCATGACCACCTGGGTGCAATGGATGAGGGTCACCGGTATATGGGACACGGTTACCAGGCGTGACGTCATCATGCATCAACGGCGATGTCTAAATCCGGCTCCTTTTTCAATAATCGGCCAACAATCGGCCATCGACCTACCGATTCACCTGTAACACTGACTGGCCATCAGTGGCGCGCACCACACCTATCCAACCCTACCATCCGTCAGCCATCCCCACATAACTCTACTCACAATGTTGGTGAACTCGAGGTAGGCGAAGCCCTTAGAGCGTCCCTTGTAGTCCTTGACGACGCGCAGGTCGGCGATCTCGCCCGTGGACTGCCAGTGCTGCCGCAGACGGTCGGCGCTTATGTTGAAGTCGAGATTGCTGAGGAACACGGTCCGGGAATCGCGCTCCACGTCGCCCGTGCTGCCGCCCTCCTCGCCCGCTGTAACAGTGTGAAAGAACGTGGGCCTCATTCATTACAAAGTCAGTAAAGTGTCAACGTCATACTTGATGAATACCATAGGTGAGACATATACCTGCAAGACAGACAAAACAGTAATGTCAAGAAAAGTGAAGAGACGAGCACTGTTAGGCTGTCAGTGTTTACTTTCTTAATCATTTTCAGTCGACGAAAAGAAGCTCGTCACTTTATCTACCAAACCATTTAAGAATACACAAAAAGATAGGCGTTACAGAAAATAAAGTGATGTAAAAACCCGTCTAACGCTGCCAAGTAGCTGGTCCTTAAATTGTGGCTGTTGAAGACTGTGATTGGAGTGTACCTAGCGTATCAGCAAGTCGACAGTGCCACGTCAGAAATGGTGACAAATTAGTAAAACAATGTTTTTTGATGGAATGCTGGCAGTTGGCACAGCTGTGCGGGTAAAGCGCCAAATGAGCATAAATATCTGTCACTGTGACCAATGTCTCACAGTCACAACACACGATAAAATATGCGTTCTTCCGCCGATTTCTACCTTTGGGCGGCGCTTCTCTCGCCGGCTCCTTCGGTTTGTAGCCGGGAGGGGGAGGAGGCGGTTTGAAGCCCGGGGGCGGGGCTGGTTTGCCGTCGGCGGCGGGCGGTGCGGGCTTCTTGAAGCCGGGCGGTGGCGGCGGCATGGCTGGATCGGCCGCCGTCCTCTGGGCCGGGGCCGGTCGCGGCTCCTCCTCGTCCTCCTCACCGTCCTCCGAGCCGCGCTGTCGGACAGACCGCACGAGCCTGAGCAATAATTAACGGGTGTGCACTTAGTTTCTGGAAAAAGTTTGTATTGACATAACTTTAGTGTTTGAGCTTGGATTAAGATGATATTTGGCACATATATAAATTGCAGCAATAGTTAAGAGTTGTCAAAAGAATTAGGCGCTCTCTCCTCCCAGGCGGTCTACAGCCCACGTGCTATACAGACGCTCCCTGTTGAAATTGCGCGGCACCTCCGGGTTCAGGTGTGGCGATGGCTAGCGGGTTATGGACTTCAAATAGACGCTAGTATGCACTTAACATCTTCCTTAGTACTATATCGTCTTCAAAAGTCCCCATTCGGTCGCCGTTGAGATATGCCAAGAAGATTCCCTTCGCGGCTCACAAACGGTACATGTGCGCCGTCCCGTAGATCCAGCGCTCCGCGCGCACAGTGACTGCATTGTTGTGTGATCATGACACCTATACTTTCCTCGGGCAGTGATGTTCCCAATGTGACAAAATTTCTTTATTTAATCACTGCTGTCCAAAGATATCGACGTCGGCATTGGCTACGTAGGGCTAACATAATGATTGGATACCGCACGTGGGGATATGGCGGTCCACTGACCAGGAGATCGCGTCAAAAGTGGTCAACAGGCTAAGGTTCCACAATTTGTGAACGTTTGCTTCTCGAGGTGGTGTTTTACCCCATCTTCATTACATAAAATTTCCGTTTTAGGTGATCTTATTCCAGCATCCACAGGTGATTGCTTGAATCGTCTGTGCACTCAGCATTTACATGATAGCTTACAGATCCATGTCTCATTGCTCCTCTGCTGCTTTTATCGGCTGCCGAGGGCTGGATCATAGTATCTCTACCCTTTTAGGTATACAATATCACAATTAATTTTTCTTACAAACATGGAAAACGGGAGGACGGGAAGAGTATCGGGAACGCTCACAAGATGGTGAATACCCTTTACCAGAACGAGCCTCTTCTGCTGGGGCACTTTCGCCACGAATCAACACACCTGCACACTGTGTACAGGGTGTTGCAGGTAAATTGGGAATTTTCAGACCTAATTTCAACATGCTATTAATACGGTGAATGAAAACACAGAAAGTTGA